AGTCCCTGCAGGTGGAGAGGTGTCAGTTAACGTCAGATTCGAAGGGCGGGCCCCAGAATCGGGAACCCACGTGCCCAGGACCCTTTTGGCCGTTACAGGTGTGCCTTCTGGCCCCGCTGAGAACGGGAGCAGGCCCCGAGGATGCTGTGGACGGAGGGACAGGGAGGCGGGGCTTGTCCTGCGCAGACAGCAGCCAGAAAGTCCGCTCCCCACACCGGGGGCGCTGAGGACCCTCAGGGCCAGAGCTCCTCACCTCAGGGAGTTGATGTTGATAAAACCGGTGGCATCGATCGGCTCGTAATCGCCCTGCACGTTCATGCTGCAAGGAGAGAGCAAAGCCTGTCAGCACCCCCGGCCTCGTCCCCGCACCCGGGGGACCCCTGGGGCTGCACAGGTGGGAAGAGCAGGTCCTCCAACAGCCAGAGCACCGCGTGGGTAAACCGAGGACATGTGCTTGAGCCGGCTCCGCCCTCGGGGCTGTGGGGGTCCAGGAACAGCGATGGAGTCCAGGGGCTGAGGGCCCGGGAGGGCCCGGGAAGCCCCGGCCGCACACGGGAACAGCCTGGGATCCGCACAGCGGGTCCCTCAAGCTGCAGGGAGGTTCATGCGCCCAGGGCAGGATTTGCCCGGTCACCTTTCACCTTGTGTGTCCAACCAGCCAGACCCCATCTACTCCACCCTCACACAGGACCCCCGCCCCACGCCAGGGTCATGGAAAGTGCGGGTCAACCACAGCTGTACACATGGGACAGATGTACGCACAGGACAGATGTTTACCTTCGTTCCCCACCTCCGCTTCCACCCCTCAAGTCGGTAGTTGCGAGTTCTCCCTGGTTGCCCTCCGAAACCCTTCTGAGCCACAGTCCTGCAGGTTCGCTACCTCCTTGTGCGTCCTAGCACCCCCCCCTGCTCCCCACCACAGAGCTCAGGGCCGACACCCTGCCTGCGCCCCGGGCTGCGGTCTTTCACTTGGAAATGGGGCTCCACGTGAAACCATACAGCTGGCACCTGGCGTACAGACAGGCTCACTATTGCACCATTCGTTCATCCGCTCATTCATTCATTCAGATATTCATGAGGCACCTACTGCCTGGCTGCCAGGAGCCGTGCCAGGCACCGAGGAACCGGAGCTAGATAAGCACAGTGCCCATGGGGGGCAGAAGGAAGCCACCGATCACCTGTCAGCTCATCAGGACTGTGGTAAGCTCTTTGAGGACAAGTTCAGGGCGCTGTGGTCTCAGGTCTGACTCCACAGGGCCTCCCTCCATCCTCTGTGGGAAGGGGGACCCTCCCATTTCTCATGGGCCCCTTCTCAGGCCCTGCCCTGAATCAGCCCCTTGTCCTCCTGTCTGCCAAACTCCAGCCTCAGGACACAGCCGGTTCAGGGTTCTCCGTGACAAGGAGGCGGCCTGTCCCCTCAGGAGCCTTCGCAGGGAGAGGTGGGGCCGGGAGGGGAGGGGACAGGGAGTGCGCCATGCTGAGCCCCCGGAGGCTGTGCCTCTGACTGGCTCTTTGTGGACTTTTTACAACAACGAAAATGGGATCTCTGGCCTGCCCCCCACCCCAAACTTGTTCCCCCTCTGCCCTTGCCCTGACCTTCATGGGGCTTGAAGCTGGCACACAGAACTCCCACGCCCCCACCCCCCTCCTCTCCACCTCTGCCGGCCCCTCCAGGGCCCAGCTGGCTGAAGCCTCCAGCCACCAACCAGCACCTTCCCTGTGGGGGACACGATGTCAGACTTCAGAGGGGCCGCAGCGTGGCACCCCTCCCCGGGCAGAGGAAAAACTGGGCCAAACTAAAGCAGCAGCCTAGGGACACTGGCCTCGCTCCCACTGTCCGAGGGTCCCTGTGCTCAGTCTGGGGGCGGGGGTTGGGGGAGAAGGCAGGAGCCCCTCCCTGCCTCCCAGCCTGTGCATCTGTCCTTCCACCCCGTCTCCTGTGGCAAAACAACCTTCCCCCCCTTTCCCCAAACGGGCCCTTCTGGACCACCCCACAGCCTTGCCAGGTGAGGGCCCCGGCCGGGGCAGACTTGTCCTGCGAGGCTGCCGAAACGTTCCCAGAGACGTTTCTCAGGAACCGACAAACCTCTGTTTCAAACCGAGGTCTGGGGTTGGGGGGGCGGAAAAGAGTTTACAATGATTTTTTTTTTTTTACCTCCCCTGACAGTCTACAGAAAACCTCTGTGCTTTTATTTCTGTTCATTCGAGTGGCTCTGACCTGCTCTATAATTACGTTACTTTCTACCTACTGTGCCGCGGCATTTCCAGTTCTGCTACCTCTCGCGGCTTCCTCGCGGGTCCCTGTGACGCTGTCACTCACGGGCTTTCAAGTCAGCGATGTAGAAATCAGAAAGAAAAGGGAACTCGTCGGAGACACAGTGAGAATAAATGCTCCTGCTTTTCTCTTTTTTTCCCCTTTCCCTTTTTACTTTATTCATTTAATCTCCCTGAGTGAGACTCTAAGGCTTAATGAAGGGTTGGACAGATTATTAGAGGCTGTTGACTTGGAGGGGGAGGGAAGAAAGAGCCAGAGAGAGAAAGAGAGAAGATAATTTGACATTTACCCCGACTGATCTAAACTGATTCGGTTATATTTATGGCTTATAAAGTGTTTAGAAAGATTGAAGGGGGGAGAAACTCAACATGGCCAAGAGAGGGGAAGAGAAAAATTATATTGACTGCCAAACAAAACTCGTGCTGTAATTCTCACCTGGCCCCCGGGACGGGGGGTGCGGGCCTCAGGCGGAGCGAAGCTGGGCCCGGAGTCAGGTGCAGCTGTCTGTCCCCCAGGGGTCTGTCCCCACCTCTCAGGTGACCTCCAAACAGATGCCTCGCTCCTCGGTCAAGGCCACTCTCATTCACGATGCAATCACAGGCACGGCTAATGGGCATTGGCTGGCTACCTACGACCCAGCCCCCTGGCCTCGCCACCCCGCCTGGCTACCTACGACCCAGCCCCCTGGCCTCGCCACCCCACCGGGCGTGTCGTGAGGAAGCCCCCAAGGTTCTCTCCTCGCTCCTGTCCATCTCACTGACCCTACAGGCCCCTCTTGGGTCAGGGGACATCGAGATGTCTGCCGCTGCCCACTGTCCCCAACCCACCTTCTCCTCCACGCGACCCGCATGTCCAGGTAGTCCTCTTGGCCTGTCTCGAAGCAAACCCACCCCAAGAGCATGCTCTTTCCTCAAGAACATTCTCAACTCAGCATCTGCCACCAGAAGGTACCCGCTGCCCGTGCCCCAAACCCCAGGCTGAGGCGGGACCTTCCCGCCTCGCTCCACAGCCAAGCCCTTTGGATTCCACCTCCTGAATATTGGCCAGATCTGTCTGCTTCTCTCCTTTCCTAGAACCATCAGCCTGGCCCAGGCCACCCCCAGCGCACTCAGGTCCATTCTCTAGAGCAGCCGGAGGGGCCCTCGAAACACACAGATCCGATCACGCCCTCCCTTTAAGATCCGTCTCTCGGACCCTCACACTCCGGCCCCTTGTCCCTCGCGTTCTTGTGGTGCCTGGAATGTTCCGGATTCTCCCCAGGCTCAAAGCCTTGGCACATGACGAACTCTTTTGGAGATCAGCTCAAAGGTGACTTCTCAGTGACCACGCCCGAGCGCCCCGGGTCTCCCTCCGCACAGCCGGGGCCACAGTTCCTAACTGTACATCCGGGCGATCGTTTGGTGCCTCTCCCCCCACCCCCGTACCCTGCCCGCGCACAGCCACATCTCCGATGAGAAAGCCAGTCAGAAGGGGCACTGGCCATCAGGGCATGAGCCAGAGGGGACGGGGGGAACACCTACCTCACCAGCTCTTCGTTGTAGAGGGACAGCGGGGACTCCCGGCCGAGGATGTACACCTGGCCCTTGAAGACAGACACCTGGACTTTCCCCTCCACGCGCTCCTGGGACTTGGCGATGCAGTGGCGGACGAATTCACACTCAGGGCTGTGCCAGAAGCCTGAGGGGAAGGATCGGGAGGGCGCTGAGTTCCGGTGCCGCGTGTCCTTGCAAACGACCACCGCGTGTCCTTGCAAACGACCACCCCCAGGGATGAGCCGAGGCCCCCGCCCTGTGACCTTGTGGGTGAGGAGGGACACTAACCCGCTGGGGTGAAGGGACCCCGTCCTTTGCCCACAGGGAGCTGTTTTACGAGGACAGGAGACCAGGCAAGACTCAGGCTCGTGTCACCTGGGCCCAGCAGCTGGGTGGCAGTTTTGGGGGCAAGAAGACCCTGTGTAGCCCTAACCGGTTTGGCTCAGTGGATAGAGCGTCGGCCTGCGGACTGAGGGGTCCCAGGTTCGATTCCGGTCAAGGGCATGTACCTTGGTTGTGGGCACATCCCCAGTGGGGAGTGTGCAGGAGGCAGCTGATCGATGTTTCTCTCTCATCGATGTTTCTAACTCTATCCCTCTCCCTTCCTCTCTGTAAAAAAATCAATAAAATATATATAAAAAAAGAAGACCCTGTGTATGTGGCCTTCACTTGTGTCCCCATTTGTTGAGGGGGTGACTCAGTAGCCCCCTCCCCGGGCTGGTGGGCCTCCTGCGGGTGGAGGCCCTGGGTTCAGGGGCTGCTGTGAACACTGGTGTCTTGACCAAGAGCCAGGAAGAGGCCCACCCCCAGGCTGGGCAGGCCCCTCAGAAATCAGTGAACTGACTTCTCCATGTTGTTATATTTTCATTCGCAAATGTGGGCCCAAGCTCTGACTCCTCATGAACAGCCCCGTGAGAAACCTCTCCCAGATCACACAGCTGCCAGGGGCCTGGGCCGGAGCATCCCGCCAGGCCCTGAGAAACAGGATGACCCCCCCCCCCAACTCCTCACTGCACCCACCCGTCCCCAGATCCCGGAGCCAGGGGAAGCTGTGCTCCGTCCCCAGGGAGGGCAGGCTCAGACTGGGGACAGTGGCTCCTTTCTAGTGGCTGCTGAGGGGCAGCAGGCGGCTGGCCAGGGTTGGGGGAGGGACAGGACGCTGGAGGGTAGGGTTTCTCTGAAATGGAGCTGGGAAGGTGAGCCCACCTGGGCAGCTGTGGGGCCAGATGGCTCGTGATCTCCTGCCCTGATAAAGGGCCGGGTCAGCCGGGGGTCTGCGCTATTGTTGGGGCTCCAGGCCTCCAGGGGCATGGGCTGGGGGCTTGCAGAGGTGGGGGAGGCCGGGCAGGAAGAGAAGAGGTCAGGTTCCTGCCCAGTGACCTGCCACTTGAGTTCACATCCCAGCTCCGCCTCGACAAGAAAGGTTATCTCTTGGTGCCTCAGTTCCTCGCTCGCACGAGGAGATGCTGTTACTGAGCACTCTCCAGGGGGCTGTGTGGGTGCGATGAGAGGATGCAGGCACTTGAGACTTGAACACGGCCTCCGCCAGCCCTCACTGTATCCAGGAGGCAGACACCCGGAATGGGAGCTTGTGAGTGCTCCTGACTCAGCCTAGACCAGCGGTTCTCAACCTGTGGGTCGCGACCCCTTTGGGGTCGAACGACCCTTTCACAGGGGTCGCCTAAGACCATCGGAAAAACACATATATAATTACATGTTGCTTTTGTGACTAATCACTATGCTTTCATTATGTTCAATTTGTAACAATGAAAATACATCCTGCATATCAGATATTTACATGACAATTCATAACAGTAGCAAAATTACAGTGATGAAGTAGCAACGAAAATAATGTTATGGTTGGGGGTCACCACAACATGAGGAACTGTATTAAAGGGTCGCAGCATTAGGAAGGTTGAGAACCACTGCTCTAGACCCTTGCAGGTAGGGGACCCCGATGGCCCCACCCCCCCATCACACCCATCTTTCTGACTAGGTCGGGATGATTAGACCGTTAGTTCCCAGGCTGAAGGATGGGCGGTAGATGGAGACGAGATGGGCATGGAGACCCCTGTGGGAGCGCCTGGTCTGGGCTTTATCTCAGGGTCTCCGGTCCTCACCGCACAGGAGTATTCAGCTCAGACTTCTTTTTCCCAGCAGACCCAGCCGGGGGTGGGGGGCAGTGAGCTTGGTGTGCTGCATGGGGGAGGCCCTGCAGGTCCCAGACCTGGGCCAAGCACTGTACTAACGGGGATGACAACACCCATTTTACTGCTGAAGAAACTGAGGTGAGGGGAGAGGAGGCGAGCCACGCCCCCAAGTGAGATGGGTCCGGAAGCTGGGGTTCTCCCAGGATGACCTGCAGAGTGGGGGCAGGGTCTCCCGGGACTGAGGCTGCTCTTGGAGGGAGAACGTTTTTACAAGTCCCATGCAGGCAGACCAGGAGGTTTGGGGATGGGGCAGGAGGAGAGGGAGACAGTGGTCATGATAAACAGGGCCTCTAGCAGGGGGCTGAGGAAAACAGGCTTCCCTGGCCTCAGTTTCCCTGCCTGTGCTCCAAGACGGCAGGGGCCCCAGGGAAGCCAAGCGCCAGAGCAGAGTGGCGGGCTCTATCGCAGGAGCTAGTAGACCTGGTGCCCTTTATTTACAGGAGGGGAAACCGAGGCTCAGGGAGGAGAGAGACCTACCCGAGATCATCACCCAACCAGAGGCGAGGCCTGTCTCCTGACTCTGCTCGGAAGCCACGCCAGGCCTTTGCAGTTGTTTCCTACACCCGTGAACAGCGCGCCGTGCCAGGCACTGTTCTAGATGCTTCGGAAACATTCACCCATTTAGTCCTCACTACAGGCAGGAATCATTATCCCCACTTTGCAGATGGAGACACTGAGGCACAGGGAGGTCAAGTGACTTGCCCAAGCTGGTCCCTGGCCTGTAACATCTCTGTGAGAAATCACATCAAACAGCCCCTCTGAGCTGTTGGGGGGACAGGCTGCTGCCGGGGCCAATCCTGACATCTTTGGGGGCAAGGACATCAGGGGCACCTGGGCAACGTGAATATGAATAATGCCTGCCCAGGACATGTCTTCAGGGCCCTCACGCAGCCCCTGCTCCTCCACCCTGAGGCTTACGTCCTTTGAAACCTAATCGCTGTAACTCATTTTGGGATTTAGAGCGCTCGGCGGGCGACAGAACAAGAACACTTACAGCCCAGGTGGCGTGGTGGACATGAGCCCACAGCCCAGGGCCACGTGCCTCAGACACCCAGGGCTCCCCGTGCCTGCGGAGCCCCAGGACCACCCCTGCTAACGGCCCAGCCTCTGACCTTCCCCTGGGATCTGCTGGGGAGGCCGAGAGCTACGCCTCTGAAGCCACCTGTCCTGGGCCCACAGCCGCCCCTCAGCAGCCTGAGCCCTTGGACAAGTGTCCTCACCTGAGGCTGGGGCCTGGCCCCTCCTCGGCCACGGAGACACCCTGCACCGGAGCAGCCCGGCCAGGTGTGCGCCCCTCCATCGCAGCCTGCCGTGTCCTAATGGCTCTCCCACTCTAACCCAAACCCGCCTCCCAGCACTGAAACCCGGGAGCAAGGGCGTCCGCAGGAGACCATGGCATTTAAACACCTGTGTGTACCTGGGCAGGGGGCCGGCTTCAAAGCTGCCGGAAACAATGGGAGGAGAAACGTCGCCAGCCAATCACCACAGAGTCTTCTTGGAATGCCAAGATGATTGACAGTGGTTAGGAGGGTTCCCTCCCCCAAAATCAAAATCTCCGGGTGCAATAGGGGTGAGGAGAGCACGGAGGCTTATCCAGGGAGTTATTAATTAGAGGCCCCAGTGCACTGTGGGGGAGAGTGGGGGGTCCCTCAGCCCAGCCTGCGCCTTCTCGCAGTCTGGGAGCCCTTGGGGGATGTCCGACTGAGGGCTTAGACCCGCTCCCCGCCATGAGGCCGGCTTGTGGCTGAGCAGTGCTCCCCATGTGGGAGTGCACTGACCACCAGGGGGCAGCTCCTGTGTTGAGTGACTGTCCCCTGGTGGTCAGTGCGCGTCATAGCGACCGGTTGATTTGCATATTAGCCTTTTATTATATAGGATGTTAACTTTCCCCAGGGTCCTGACATCCAGGCCCCTGTGCCTGTCAAGATTGGCCGCAGGCAGCAGCCTGTCCCCCAGTGGCTGTTTGGTGAGATTTCTCTAATCAGGGAGATATGAGGGGCAGAGAGCAGGCTGCCAGCAAACAGTTTTTGGAAAGGGCTGGGCAGTCCTCTGGGCTCTGTGGGCCATGCGGTCCCTACTGAGACGACCTGTGAAAGGAGCATGGCCCCACCCAAACACTCCTCACAGTCACTGCACCCCTACAGAAACTTCCACGTGTCACGAAGGGGTATCATTTTAAAAAACGTTCCCCAACCACTTATATATATAAACACTCGCCTTAGCTCATGAGCTGAACAAAAACCGGTGATGGGCCAGGTGTGAGGACGCGTTATACAGCGTGGGGTCAGAGGGCCTGGGTCCCGACCCCGTGACAACAGGTAAGGCACAGAGACTCCGTCTCCTCGCCTGGGAAGTGGGAACCCGCCCGCACTGCGTGCTCACGTCACCCCCGACCCATTCCACGCACGGGCTGGGCACGTGGCGGTCCCGGTGATTCCTCAGTTAAGGTCTGGCTCGTGCGCTGCCTGGGCCTGGGGCCGAGTTCTTGGTCGAGGCAGCCTTTCCCTTGCCTGTGACAGTTCATGTAGGAGCTCCAGGTTCTGCCTGGAGACAGCCTGACCTAGGGTCACACCCAGCGAGGCCACTTCCTGTTGTGTACCTTTGTACACGCTCCTTCCACTCTGAGCCTCAGTTTCCTCATCTGTAAAAGGAGCTGGCTGCTCCTAGGAGAGTTGGGGGGACCCCCTGGGACAGCGCTTGTCCCCACACAGTGCCTGGGGGGACCCCGGAAGCATCCTTGGAGTCACACAGACTGCAGGTGGCAGGGGCAGCAGACACCTCAGGGGACCGGCACCTTTCCCTCGACACCCCGTGAGCAGGGCCGGGCCTGGCATCCCCTCCTTGCTCCCTCGTCCCCTGTCCCCACTTGACCTCCTGTGACCTGCTTGTTTGGGGCTGTGGCCGTGGGCGGGGTGGGCCGGAGGGGAGGGGCAGCGGCGGGGACTACGCACCGGTGTACACCAGCTCGGCGAATTTCAAGCCCAGGCCTTGCTTGATTTTGCGCACTTCCCGGTCCATGGTGAAGGCCTCGATGTCTAAATGAGCGTGGTAAAGGACCGTCCCCGCTGGGGTCTCGTAGATACCTAGCCATTTTTCCAGGCAGGGGGAAAAGGAGAAAAAAAAGAGAGAAACACATGAAACCCAAACTGTCAGCAAATGACACAAAAAAAAAATAATAATGACTCGTCTGACAGGAGACAAGCCGGTCGGACCCATTCACTCCCAGCTTGCTGCAAAATGCATCTGTCATTATGTTCATGCTGGGGCCACGACAGTCCACTCTGCGGCTTGCGGAGAAAATGCCTGGATGCCCCCCTTTGAAGAGGCCGCAGACGTTGGAAAATGACAGGGTTCGGAGCTGCCCCCCTCCTTCCCAATGCGTGCCCACCGGCCCGCGGCTGAAAACCTGTAATTAAACCGACGACGGAGGAGCCCAGGGCCCCAAATATCCCTTCCTCCCTTCCACCGGGGAGCCAGGGAAGGGATGCTGTGCGTACACGTGTCCCCGCGCGTGCATGCAGGCCAGGCCTCTCTCTGCCCGTGGCTCCTCCGCGCCGCGTCTCTGCAGAGAGACTCTGACCTTGAGCTACACTCCCAGCACAAGCTGTACCTGCAGGGCTGGGCTGGGGCCCAGAAGTCCCCCGCCACTTGCACCTTTCCCGAGAGGGCTCAGCATTGCTGTGTGACCGAGGCCTGCAGCAGCGGGTACCCCGAGGCCTGCGCAGGGACCTGCCCAAGGTGGAGCTGGAAACTGAATTCAGGCCTCGAGCCCCTGGCTGGTGCTGTCTGCTGTGCTGGGTCAGCCGGCGATGCGGGCCCAAACCCACCGTCCTGCTCAGTGCCCTGCCCACCACCTCGGGCTCGGTTCCTCCATTTGCTGAACAGCCTGCCTGGACCAGACGGGAGGAAGCAGACCTGCGGGATGTCCGATGAGCAGCGCCGGGCTCCACGGGAGGACACGAGGCACCGAGAGGTGGGGTCACCCACACACGCGGCCAGAGCCCTGTTGGCCCAGCGCCGCGGCCTCTCGAATGAGTTCACCTGAGCATGTGCAGCTGACCTTGTTCAAACTGCCCCGTCCGTCCCAGTGGAGGAGGGGCCATAACTGCTCCCCCGCCCACGAATGCTACCCAGGAAGGTGCCTTTTCCTCTCCACGTCACAGCATTAAAGGGGCAAGTTTTCAGTTAGCCTGACAATGGACCACCATCGTCTTCCCAAACTCGCTGCCGCCTTAAAAACACACACCAAAAACCTCGAAAGGATTTGCACACCCGTGTTCATAGCCGCGCGGCTCACATCAGCCAAAAGGTGGGAGCAGGGGAAATGCCGGTCAGCGGCCGAGTGGATCGACCTGGGTCCAGCCACACAACGGCATGTTCTTCCCCGACCGAAAGGGCACTCTGACCCCGGCGGCCGTGGGGATGTGCCCCGAGGACACGACGCTGAGTGAGAGAAGCAGCCACGGAAGGACAAGCGCAGCGCGATTCCACGGACAGGAGGCCCCCAGACGTCACATTCAGGAGACAGAGAGGAGACTGCTGGCTGCCAGGGGCGGGGCCTTGGTGGGGGTGGGGAGAGGGTTGGCGGGGGAGTTAGGGTTTAGTGGGGGACAATTTCAGTTCGGAAAGAGGAGAAAGTTCTGGAGATGGATGGCGGCGGCTGCACAACCGTGTGAATGTCCCGAACGTCACTGAACTGGACGCTTAAAAACGATTAAACTGGTAAACTTAATGGTATGTTATATTTTACCTTAATTTTAAACCATCCTTTAAAAACTGCAAAAACTATAAAGGAGACTGTTTTCAACTCTGAAATCCAAAGGGGGCTGAGTCATGGGACCAGCCAGGAATCCCCCCCTGAGGGCTCCTGTCTGGGGATCACAGGAAAAGTCCCAACTCGGAAGCAAGGCCTTTTAGGATCACCCCGTGTTCTCCCAACTTTTAGCTGCAAACCCAAGATTCCAACAGTCTCCAGCAGGCGCCTGGCACATGGACTAGAGAGTCCAGGCCCTGCTGCGGGGAGCGGGGGCCTCTCTGTGAACCCCGCCGCCCCCCCCAAGCAGCCTTTAAAGGGCTGATCTGGTCCCACATGCTCATTTTCCAGATGGGGAGACTGAGGCCCGGGGCGGGACATGACTTGCCCCAGGTGCATGGACCGGCACATGGGTCTCCTAGCTCTGCTCCAGGCGGCCTCAGGGCCTTTGGCAAAGGACAGGAGCTCCCGGAGTATGAAAGGAGAGTCCAAGTCTGAGGTGCCGTGGCCGAGAGGAAGGGCCTGGGTTCTCGTGGTGGCTCCCAGGCTCAGGGGACGTCCCCTGTGCATCACAGAGCCCAGCGTGGATGGTCGCAGTTGCTACGGAAGAGCCTGGCCGGTCACTTGTTCGGCTGCGCGGCCCCGAGTCCAGCTGTGGCCTCGGGGGGAAATGTTCCCGGGGAGTCCCTCAGGCCCTCACTCGCCTCAGCCTCACTCTTGTCAGCACAGAACGGGGTGAGAAAGGCAGACGGAGGGGGAGATGGAGGGATGGCTGAGAACAACTGCGGGGGGTGGGGGCAAGGAAAACCTATGCAAACTCCTCAGGGGCAGCCTGGCACCCCCGCCGAGTGGCTCCCGATGGCCTCAGGGCCCCGAGGAGAGCCCTTTGCAGAGCCAAACGTGTGCTGAGCGTTTGGGAATGTCCGCCTCCAAAATGGCAATAACAGCCACAATGCTAAAGCGGTCAGTGTTCAAGTCCCAGGAACTTTATCCCCAAGAATAAAGCCGTTTCTCAAGAGTCACCTAAAGCAAGATCATGTCCAGGCCTACTGGTCTCCTCAGCCGGGCAGACTCGGAACTCAGGATTCATTGGTTTGGGAAGACTTCTGATGATTAGTTTCACCACATTTTGAAAAAACAGCCCACACACTGGCAGTCGCCCCTGTCATCCTGGGCAGGCCGATACAGCTGGGCTCACTTTCATTCCTGGGGAACCTGTCCCCCTGCCCCCCCCTCTTCCTGGCCTTGGCGGGGCCAGTGTGATGGCGTAAGCTGTATTTGCAGGGCGGGGGCTGGGGCCCACCAGTCCCACGCCACTTGCCTGAAGGTACGTGCCCAGACCCTCTCTTCCTACTCTCACCCTACCCCGTGGGGCATGCGTACTGATGGCTTTGTCTCTAGGCAACTCCCCAGCATCACCTCCCAATAGTGCAGAGAGGGCACAAGGCCAGAGGCGTGCTGTCCCCGAGTGCCTGGTGGGCAGAGCTACCCGCTCCTGAGCCCTCAGAACCGGCCTCCCGGCTGTCAACCCTCCCAGGCAGCCACGGGACACACCAGCACAATTAATATTCCTGCTCCTTTTCTACGAAGGTGTTAAAGTTAATTGTGACTGATCAAAAAGCTTGTTTTCTGGTTGCTGCTGCTGGGGTGTGTGTGTGTGTGTGTGTATGTGTATGTGTGTAAGAGGGAGAGAGAGAGAGAGAGAGAGGATCTTAAGATCTCTCCTCTCCACAGGGGTAAGGGTAGATGATTTCTGTGTATTTCTTCTAGAGAAAAAAATGACTAAAAAAACCGGTGACAGAAACCTGATGCTAAAAGACTATGGATTTGGGGCTTTTGACAGTCAGCATACAAACCACTGAGCAAAAGGAGGAGGAAATGACAGCTGAGATTCGCGTCGCGTGGAAGAGACAACAGACATCTTCGGAGTGACACGCACAGCGGTTCCAAGTGTCTATT